GCAGATGCTCCACTTTGCAACGTCTCCCTACCCTGTGCTTTCAGAGCTGGAACTGAACACCAAGTGCGTGGTGGAGATGGAAGGGAACCAGACGGTCCTGCACCCTCCTCCTTCCAATACCAAGCAGGGAGAAAGGTAAATCCCACCCCGCCGGCTCCTGCCAAGTTTGAGCCAGGAAAACCCGAGTGCGCCTTCCCATTGTTAGCAAGGGTGGCTTCAAGTTGTCCCACGCTCATATGAGAAGCGGTTGCAAGTGCAGGGTCTCTGTGTAACCCCTCTTCTTGTCCCCTCGCATCCAGAGCGGTGTCCCCCAGGCAAGGAACCCTGGCCAGAGTCAGCACTCCTGGCTTGAGACTCCCAGAACATGAAGGGACCAAATGGAGCCCTGGAGATGTGTAGCTCAGGCCACATTTTACTGATAGGAAAACCTGTGTCTGAAGCGTGCAAATGACCAACCCAAGGCCTTATTGATGGAGTCCAGCGCCCGCGATTCTTACGCTGGCTCATTTGCCCCCTTTAGCAGAATTGCTTAGGGATGTTGTATGTGAAATGGGGCAGGGAGCCGATAAAGCAAATGCCCTGGTACTAGGCTAGGTCTTTTAAAGTAATTTTGGGTTATTGGAAGTGGTGAGTTGAGATGATGTCTGAAAGTAATGCGGGGAATATTTTTGATTTTCAAGGAAACAAATAGAGCCCTGATCTGGAGCTGTTTAGACACTGGGATGGGGGATGTCTAAAAGGGGGGGGTGTGTGCATTTTCTAGATGGCAAGGCATTTGCATTTGAAAAGTCGTAACTGTGGGATCCTTATTAATTCTGTTGTGTTCTGTGCAACGGTATGGGAAAATGCCGTAAAATAATGCGAATATTTGGCATTTTTTCTGGCAAGCCCCTGAGAAGAAATAGGTTAGAATTCATTCAGTATGGCATTGTAGGAGCTAGTAAAAATAGAAAAGAAAGCTGAGATTCAAATCCAGCTTGAAAACGAGTTTGTCTCAGAAAATCACCTGTTGATTGATGGATGCGCTATATAATGAGTGAAGTTTCCTGAAGACAGACTGTGAAGTAGGGGTTGTTACTTTATTGCTAACGGAGGCAGCTGCTTTCTTCTATAATCCGGCCGCCTTTGCAGCCCAGCCTTGCTAAATTTGGGGTAAGATTGTTATGAGGGAGAAGACTGGGGATTCTTTGCTTTTAGTGTCGAGCCTAGTGCATTTCATTCACTTTGCAAACATTCTGCTTTTCCCAGAAGATTCTTATAGTGACATTTAATGACTAAGTTATTTTGAAGATGTGTCAAATACTTTTATAGTAATGGATGTATCCTTGGACAGTATTTTTAGACACGTTAAAATGTTTTACAGTATATTTAGACATATTGGATAGCAGTGTAGATGGTATATTTTATGGTGGGCATAAGTAAATTTGTTGAGTAAACTATTTACAGATTTAATAGATGCCTCTCATATCAGATCATTATTTTTTCAAAACTGGATCTTGTTATATTATTTCAGAAGACTGTTTCTTTGGCTCTGGTTCTTCAAGGCAGCCTGGGGAACAGGTGGACTATTTTAGTTCCTAGGAGGAAGCTAAAGCTTCAGTTTTGCTTCATGGCTTGGTACCCACTTACTCATCCCTGTTCTTTAAATGTTTTTAACCATGTATGTGTTTGTTTGTGTGTGTATGTGTGTGAATGAGTGAATGTGTTCATTCATTCATTCATTTGTCCAGTCACCCATTCATTCCAAGGTGCTGGGATTGGAGCCCAGATGCATGCTGGGAATGGGCCCCCAACCACTGTCATCAGCTCTTCTTGCTGCTCTTAACCCCTAAGGAATGCTACTGTTATCTACTGGTGAATGAAATGAAGCTTCACCATTTGTGTGTTTAGCTTTGTGGGATTTGAAGAGAATTAATAACTCTGGATAGTTGGTGGTAAATGCTAAAATACCACTTGGTCATTCTTAGGGTCCTGGTATTAGATTTTTAGGTGAAGACTTGTGGAATGTGACCTGGGCATCTGTCCATCGGCATGCTGATTCGGATAGACTTTATCCGGAGCTGTAAGAATTGCGCTGAACTGTGGGGAGGACAGATCCGACTTTTCCTGTGGCAGGTGGTGGTCTTTGGGTCTGCCCAGGTACTTACTGGGATGAGATAACAGAATGACTATCTTTGCCAGAATGAAGACACCAAGTGCATTTTGATGTCCACTCTGCATCTGGTTTCATGTTTCTTTCAGGAACTTCCTCTTAAAGCAACAGTGCATTTAAAAATAGAAACAATTCCTCCCTTGGGCTGTGGCGTGGAAATCACATCTGTGCTTTATGGTGTATTTGCAATTCATTTCTGTCAATCGAATCTGGTCTGCCGTACCCCACCCTCACCCCCCTAGAGCTCAGGCCACGACAAGAGTGAGTGGGTAGAGAACTGAGAATGTAATTAAATCTTCTGGGACTTCCCAGGTTTGCAATGTAAGAAGTCCTTCAATAAATATCGGCAGTTTGTTGTCAGGCTGACAAGGAGTGTTTTTCTGAAGTTACAAAAGATTGCCCATGCATTCATAGAGGCTCCGAGTACTGAGTCAGTTTTCAGTTTTACCAGTAAGAATAACAAGGGAGAATAAATATATTGACTTCTAGGAAAGTAAATAGGCCTCACTTTCATACCTTTCTTTTATGGGCCTGCATTAGCAGAGACCAAAAGATCAGAGGACTTCTCAGGCTAATGTTTGTTTTGCTGTTGCAATTCCAGCATTATAACCCTGCCTAGGTCCAGGTTCCTAGCTGGTTTTTCAAACCATTCATCTAGCTACAGTGCCAAGACTCGGGTGGGTTCTATGAGGGACACACATACAAAGTTCCTCCTAGTACCAGGCTTGGCCCAGGGGAAGCAAAGACAACTGCAGATCCATACTTATGCCAGGGCCTTCACCGTTGAGAGTCGTGGAAAGAAAGAAGAAATACTTTAAATGCACTGTGGTAATTGCAGAATTGTGTGCTTTGCCTTCGTGTACACCATGTTATTTGTCAGTTCCCCACTTACTGGAGGCTGTGCACTCCCTGGAGGCAGGTACCTTGCACTGGTTCTCCTTGTACCCAAGTCCCCACACAGCACCTGACACATAGCAGCTGCCGTACGACAAGGGCTATAGTTGCCACCCAGGGTGGGCAGCCTGCTGAGGCAGCTGGCATCAGGCTACTCTTATGTAGGTTCACTTTGCAAGATGAGGCCAAAGTCCTTTATTAAGGAAAGTGGAAGCCTTCCCACCGCAGATTGCTTCTGGGCAGTTTTCTGTGTAGGAATGTGGGGCCAAGAGTGGGATGCACAGGCCAGGCAATTTGCCTTGGGTGGGGATTGAGTGAGAACCCCCGGTTTGCCATCACCATATGGGTGAAATATACACACAGAATCTACTCCTCAGCTTTGTTGGCATCATCCCTACCCTCCCATCCATCCTTTTGCCCTCGTTATTTTATTTTCTGCATTTTGGTTTGTATGAGGCATTGTCTCAAGTAGCTCATGCTAGCCTTGAACGTGCTAAGCAGTGGAGGCTGTCCTTGCTCTCTGGGTCCTCTTCGTTTTCCAAGGGCTGGATTACACGCCTGTGCCACCATGCCTGGCTCTTTTCTCATTTATTTATGACTATGAAAGTGTAGGAATATATCAGTACATACACACAGAAGCACGTATCTTGCTTATCTATATGTAAATAAATATTTTGACGATATCTTTTAATATCAGTATAGGAAGACTCATTTGTTTTTACATCTAACCTGGATGATAATAGTAGTTTTTAAAGATACAAGTCTTTAGGATATGGACCTGATTCTACGGCTATCAGCAAAATAATATAACAAAGCACATTTCTTAGGATGTTATAATTTTATGTCAGTAAATTGGGAGTAAAGCGTCGTAGTGAATTTCCCATCTATTTCTAGCTGAGAGGGAAAAGGGCATTCTGACTGGGACTTTAATCCCAGCTCTTGGGAAGCAGAGGCAGGGAGATCTTTGTGAGTCTGAGGCTAGCCTGGTTTATATAGTGAGTTCTAGGCTGGCAAGGGCTAATGGTGAGATCCTGTCCAAAAAAAAAGACAAACTGGGTAGGATAGAATATAGGCTGTTAGTAAGGGAGCCTCAAAATTGTTCATTTCCTACCCATTCTTTCCATATTGCAAGGTACACAGTGGACCACGGCAAATGTACGAATGCTACTTAGCCAACTACAGTGTGTGTTCTGGTTCCAGTTCACACATCATGTCATCATGTGATGGATGTTTCCAGAATGGTTCCTCTGTTCAAAAAATTTTAAGTATTACTGACAGTCATACAAAATTAGCAAGACAGATCCCTAAGAGTCAGCAGCATTTCACATCATGAAGTCGTTTGGAGAACCTGAATTCTTGTCTATTTTGTGTTGTTACTCCTCTCTTTGGCTTTATTACAGAGTTGGCTATATGAGTACAAGATAAATTTAGGTGTTGCTAATACAGGAGGGCTCATTTTTCTTGCATGATATTGGAGTTTGAAGGAGAATGACAATGAAATATTTACATTAGCTGTCAACCTGTCTAATTTGTTTTAAAATAAAGGTTCATTGAAATCTCACTTTGAAAAAGTAGACTAAAAGCAATTATCATCTGGCATAAAGTGATTTAAAAATTATTTGAGGGGAATTGGGAGTGGTGGTTCTTAACTGTGATTCCAGCACCTCAGAGGCCAAAGTAGAGGTTGGGGATTTCAGAGTGAGTTAGTTCCCTGCCAGCCTGATCTGAAGGGAGACTGCCTTAAAAAACAACCAGAATAGTGGCTGGAGATATGGCCCAGGGATGGAGCACTTGCTTAGCATTTGTGAAGCCACAAATTGGTTCAATCCCTAATACTGCTCCCTCCCAAATTTTATTGTGGCGAAGCCCACACTTCAGACTAGAGTTTATATTTTGAGCCTGTATGTATGAATGTATCATAAGGGCTGGTATAAAGATGTTCTTCTTTCTTTCTTTCTTTCTTTCTTTCTTTCTTTCTTTCTTTTTCTTTCTTCCTTTTTTTTTTTTTTTTTTTTTTTTTCCCTTTTTTTTTTTTTTTTTTTTTTTTGAGACAGGTTTTCTCTGTATTGCTTTGGAGGATGTCCTGGAA